TCGAGAAAGTCTTGAATCCTTTCAAAAATGCTGTACTTGGTTAGCCAGTTGCAGAGGAGAGGGGAGAATCGCACACTTATTTGGTGTAAATATGCCACTTTGACGGCGGTGAATTTCGTAAAATATTTCATGCCTGTCCAACACACAATTCTGAATTCACCATTAACTCAGAAGTTATCATAAACTGGAAATACCCTGGTACCCTGGTACAGCTGCTACATCAAAGAAAAAAATTTGAGGAAAGTCGTGAAATGGCCATCTAATTTAGCTGAAAGTCTTAGAGAAACAATGTTGAGAAATAGCTGCAGTGCAGGGGAGTCCAATGCCATATTTATAGAATCATGTATTACATCTCAGTGAGGTAGCTTAATAGCTTTAGAATGCCAAATAAAAGAAAATTCCCATGAACTGAGAGTCTGGGCCAATGAGTGAAGATTTGTAATATGGAATTACTGAATGTATCTTTCACTTCACTCCCTCCCAGCCTGAGATTTCTTGTATTTCATGCCATGTAATTCCATCCTTGCTCTTTTGAAGAAAAATGATCTAGATGAACATGCATGAATACCAAATCTGTAAAAATTAATTCAATTGAATACAAGAGGCTAGATTAATATTCCTGGTTATACGCCCACAGATACCCAGATCTCAGGCCCCTGGTCTGCACTAGGGGATAACTACGTTAATTGCACAGCATAAGTCAAAGTTATCTTAACTTACATTTTGGCATTGTCCACTCTGTGGGAAGTCAAAGGGAACACACACTCCCTTCGACTTCCCTTACTCCTTGTAGAAACAGGACTACGAACTGGAGCGCCCCTCTCAGTTTGAATTAGTGTGTCTTCAACTAGATCCACTAATTCAAACTCTGGTTTATCAACCGTGGCTGCTTCAATATTATCGATAGTGTAGACATGGCCAGAGGGATTTTTGTGCATCACTCCTTTCTGAGGCTAACTCTATACTCGGAAGGTTTGGCGACAGAAGTGCTGTCAACATGCAAAAATTGCCAAAAGTGAAAAATAAGTCAAACCAGTTTTTTTGCCTCGGATTGTCCACATTTCATGGTCACATTGCTAGTTCCGCTGTGGACAGAGCGAAGCTATGTGGGTAAGTATCCCACAGTGCTATGTAGTGGAGAGGCAGAACTGATCCCCGGGCTTCTTGGGAGTCTCTTGTAGCTCTATGAGCTCCCTGCACTGAGCAATGTCAAACAAGCACAACATTTTCTCCAACCCTCCCCCTGCATCAGAACAGAAGCATTCCAATGATGTTTTTTCTTTGTTTCCCAAATGCAGCAGCTCGCTCAGCTGTCAAATACTTCCTCAGAGCTTTGAAAGGGGAGGGGTGCATGCCTCCAGGGCAGCAGAGATCACAAAACACTGAGCACAGCCATCAGGGCTGGCATTGTGGGATATTGGCGGAAGCCAGTTCTCTTGACAAAACAAACAGCAGATTCCACACTGGCTCTTTGTCAACAATGAAGAGAGGGGAAAAGACAAAAGTCTCACTGGGGTGGAATTTTTTTTGCCAAAACTAGGTGTTTTTTCCCCCCTGACAAAGTTGCATTGTAGTGTTAACAGTCTCACTGTTTTGTTGCCAAAAGGGAGGTTTTGATGACAAAACATGCCAGTGTAGACAAGGTCTGAGAAATTGTCTCTAAAATCTGACTCCTATCAGTTCAAAGTTCAGTCAAACACTTGATAGTCCCTTGGGCAATAAGTTCTATCACAGCCTGATGATCTTAGACTAAAGTTTTATCATTCGGAATATGCTGAAAGGACAATCTTCAGTTAGGAAGGATAATTAGCAAGTTATTGATGCAAGGAAAGCATCTTCAAAGTTTGCACTGACGTTTCAACAGATTTCATAATTTTGTACTAAAAGGATTTCAGGCATTAAATATTTTATAGACGATAATAATAATAAAAAAAGTGTATAGCTCTGTTTATTTCAGCAAGGCTGATGAAAGATTGGCTACTTCTCAAGTTGGGCTTCATACCTTCAAGAAACCCAAGTGGACACAACTGACGTTTGGTGCACTGTAATATTCTTAGAGATGGTCTTGGTACACTTTGTCCTGCCTCAGTGGAAGGGCTGGACTTGACCTCTTCAGGTCCCCTTCCAGCTCTACATTTCTGCATGATTCTATCAACTGCTTCAGAAAACATATTGCTTAGTCAGAGTCAAAATAGAGCAGACTAAACAAAATGCCATATCCCATGATTTTTTTGAAGGTAATAATAGATAGGACATCATTTGTAGCACATAAGCCATCTGTTCAATACAGAGGTAAAATATTTGAAAGAATTTAAATTACTCAGTATGATGTCAGTATCACGGACATACTGGCAACACAAAACAAAAGCCACCACAAAATGCTCTGGCCTCAGTCTGGCTAAAAATGGGATTGCTTACTGTTGAGTCTGACAGTGTATGAAGAACAAGTTGTTGAATACTCACCTGGGGACTCTGCCATATGTTCTTGCTTCTCTTCCCTTTCCTGGTACTGAAGTAAATGGGACCACAATGCAGATTTCCCCTGAAAAACAGAACATATAGGAGACATATAAAATAAATGAGAAAGGAGCCAAAGGAAATAAAACAGATATTGGATTAGAGACTGGTGGGTCAGTGGATCCAGGAAGCCACTTTGGGTTTTTGCATGAATTCTTTGTTCCTGAGCAATGAAACCAACAAGAACAGGAAAGGACCACTTCACAGAACAAGTCATTTCCTGTGATCATGAAGCTTTCCCTGAATCCATTTTTCTCTCCCCAGTCCATAACTCCTCCTTAGGATGGAAAAAAAAAATTGTTATTACAATTTGTGGAAAGACTTCTCTTGAAAGCCTCACAAAACATAAGGAAATGAACAGCTTTGCCCGAAGTGCTTAGATACTTTCAACTCTATTTAGAAATGATTCACCAAAAGGTAGTTTAAAGGGATGGATTACAGGAAATATTTTAGTATCTGCATGTGTAGATGTGCTTTTTCCTGACCAAGTTACCAACCTGTTTGACTTGTAGACCATGGCTCCAGATCCTTTCCAACAGATCACAAAGACTAGCAATCAATGTATTTTCCTCTAGACCTGTTATGTTGGCCTCTCCATGTCCCAGCTCTACTGCTTCATGACCCATCTTCTCTACCAACATACGCTTAGTCTATAAGACATCATGATTTACAGAGTATTAGTAAACGTTCAAGAGTATATCTACTGGCTTTAAATCATCCAGTATCCCTTCAATTCTGGCCACTGAAACATCAGTTCTGATTACAATGTTTATAGTCAAAAGGATATTAATTTTCAGTAAATTTCTAAATAATGTATACATAAAGAGTCATCCAAATATATTTGCATCAAACAGTTTCTTTAACTATTCAGGATGACTTTTCTAGTGAACACAGATTATAACTCTATATTGTAAGCAAGGACTTTTTAAATAGAGGATCCCCAAACCTAGTCAGTTTGTGGACCTCATTTGAATAGAGTTTACATAGGCACCTCTTCTCTAGTTTGTGATCATGCAGACTACCTCTTCTCTCTCATTCCCAATCCCATAAAATCCCTATAACATGTCTGGAAAAGGAACGTATTTCTTTTAATGCGAATTAGGAGCCGGACATACCAAGAAAAAGGGGCCACTGCCTGGCAACTATCTCTAGAATACCAGGAGACCAGCTCAGAAAGGCCAGGTTTATGCTGCGTGGAAAGGCTGAAGACAGACACGCAACTCCAGTCGACGCATCTTACATTGCGTTTCTGTGCCGGCCACACAGCGGAAGGTCGACAGGAGCAAACACTGCCATCAGCTTCCCTTACTCCTCGTGAGGAGCAGGAGTACCTGCTCCAATAGGGGCACCCCATGGAGTTCAATTTAGTAGGTCTACACCACACCCACTAAATCAAACCCTTGGAAGATAGACAGCAGCAGCATTGGTCTTCCATGTAGCATAGATGTGCCTGGACTGATTCTGAAAGGCTTCCAGGCAGAAAACTACCAATGAAACTAATGGAAGTTTGTTATTGGAACGGTCCTGAAACTCCTCCACAAAGACATTTTCACCCTACTTATAGGAGAGTAGAAAATATAAGTTTTTAAACAAGTTACCTTCATGCGACATTCTTTTAGTAACCCTTCCACAAATTTCCAGTTTGTCTGAGCAATTACAGCTGGAGAAAGGTCTGAGAGTTTGGGTTGCCTTAAATTTTTCCCCAAACTTCTTGCCTCCTGCATGTATTTCTAAAAGAAACCGAATTAGCATTAATATTAACCATTGACAGTCAAGCACTGGTATAAAAAAGGCTCAAAGCTAGTAAATCTATGCACTGTTGTGATTTAGCTGAAGCTTTAAATCATTAGAGTAGAGAATTTTAACACTCCACAGGCCAATAGAAAAAAATTCTCCCATGTGATATGTGCAGTCAAAACGTCAAACAGAACTAGCCAGTGAACTGTGTTATTAGCTTGTATTACAGTTAGCCATCAGCATACAAGTCCAAACCTGCATTAAAAACTCTTTGCATTATTTGATTTTCACTAGTAAAAGGGATGAAAAACCAACTGAATAATCTGAAGAAAACAGTATAGAGTTGAATGAAAAATGCTTTTGAAAGAAACTAGAAAAGCAAGTGAAGGAAGGAAAAGGGACTTAGATTTCAAAGAACTTTGGCTCAGGGGAAAAAAAGTGGGATACGTTGGCTCTCGTCAAGACTGACAAACTTGCTTAGTCACTGGTGAGTTTATTTATTCTTAGATTTGTTTTCAACAAAATTCAACTTTTGGAAATCATTTTGGAAAATGAAACTCGAGTACCTGAAGTTCATCTAAATCTGTGGTATCGCAAAGAAGTGTTCAACACCTCTTTATGCAAGTGAAAAAGCTATATTCTTAGCATTTATACAAGATAGGCCTCAACGGTAGGTGCTTAAATGTGAAGAACCTAACTTAGGCACCCATTTTTTAAAATAAAATTTTGTTGAACTCATCCAAAAAAGTACTTAAAATATGCCTGAGGATTGCCAACTTTGATATTTTATTGAAAAAATAATTTAGAAATATGATCATCATATTGTAATGGCTGTCTCCTGCTATAGGTAGCTGTTGCCTCCCACACCCATTAATTCTCTCTGCACTTAAGGCCCCACAAGTAGACTGGATGGTACTCTCTTCAGAGAGTTATACTCACAGAGTTTAATTGGGCTGCAGGACTTACTTTAGAGCTACATAATGTACAGGGAGCATGCTGTCTCTGCAACATTCTATAACTTTCTGTCTGGAAAAAGAGATAACTTTAAACTAGCTTGTTTAATGGAAGCAATATCCAAACTTGTGCTGTTGTAAGTTGACCAAAATTGCTTGAGCACATATGGACAAGTCAGCTCGCCTGTTCAATACTTCTGGTGTGGGCTGAGCATGTATGTCTGGCTATTATCATCTCTAATGGAATCCACAACATTCTTATGCATAAATAAAATGCGAAAGGACAAAAACTTTTAAATATTTTTATTCTTGTGTCACGCAACGATGAAGTTGCTATTTAAATAACAGCGGTTTTTTTTTCAACCATTGGTAGTCTCACAATAGTTGTTCCATCTAATTTGTGCCAAAGTAATAAACATTATGGAAACAGCAAAAAGGAAATAGCTAACAGAGATAGACAGAAGTTTATTTTTAAAGGGAAAGGGAAAAAGAAAATAAAAGTGTGGTCATAGTCTGAAGACTGGAAACATTTAGATAACCTTACTCTATTCTACTGCAGATCAAGTCCTAATGTATTATAAAATGACACATTTTTAGTCCTGTTAACTCTCTTGGTTCTGCGAGTTCTATAGAAGAACAAGTTTGCTACATAAAGATCAAGTTGGATTCTAGTCTCTCTGTGGATCAGTATCAATCAACTATCACCACAACCTAAGATTTCACTGCAGTCTTTGCTGGTGGCTGAACATCATAGCCTAGAAGGATGCAACTTGCAATTGAGATCCTAAGCTGACAGTCACAGCAGTGAGGAAAAAAAAACTTTAGAAGCATAAACGTAGCCAGAGGATTGAAATGCAATCCCATGACTTGATTTTCAGTTTTGCTTTTCTGACTATAACCACACTTTAGTAACTACAGGGTGTGCTTATGTGCTACAAAACGGCATTTGAAGTGATATTGAAGACAGTGGTTCCTTATTCTAGTAAAGTCTCTCAAAGCAGCTTTCAGCAAAAAAAAACATACCAGGCAGCATTCAGAGAAGGATTTTTTAGGAGGTCGTGCAGGAGGGGGTGGCCCTTGATCCCACTCCCAGAATGCCATTGAGTTCTGACGAATCAAAAGCTCCTCCGATGGTTAAGAGGAGGCAGATATACCAATGGCAGAAAAGCCCGAAAGAGAGGAGACAAAGCAAAACAAGCATGCATATGTTCCACAACAACAACCACAAAAGAAAGAAAGAAAAAATAAATATATGGCGAAGCACTGAAAGGGTTTTATGTTGAAATATACACATTGCAATATTAAGAACTATATTTACAAAGTCACATTAACACAAATAGCAACAAACTTTTATAAAGGCTGTTTTGCTTGGTTTTAATGAAACTGAATGTTTAACATTGCAATTAAAGAATTAGATTTTACTTATTAGGTTTTAAACTTCAAATGGCAACTAGGGATGTAGAATCCTAACGTTATTGCCAGGCATGAAGCATCAGCCCTGCCAGCCTGCTGGTTAACTGGTTACTCTGGTAAGTATGCTAGTAAGGCTGATGTTTACCAGGCAACCGGTTAACTCTTTACATCATTAATGGCAACAATGATAAAGTTTATTTAGTAATGCTAATGGCAAAACAGTATAAAGGTTTGGTGAGCGTTTTTTGCTAATGATAAAAATAGCACAAGAACTATAGTTACAGTGAAAAACATGGCAGAAAATTGGGGTTTTTTGGAACAATCAAAAGGAGAAACTGAAGAGACAGGAAAAAAAGCACCAAGTAATTGATGTTTACCAGATGTGTGGGTAAACAAAAAACCAGTAACAAACACTTCCCTTTTAAATGGGCTAGCCAGTGAAAATTACTAATCTATGCAACACAAAAGAGCACCCTTACATTAAATCCTCCTTTTTGTCTCCAAATGGTCAGCGTGTACCATAATATCTGAAACTCAAATACTTTTTATTGGTCCAAATCTGTCACTCCATCCACACAGATGGGTCTGCCTGTGTAAGTGCAGTTGTACGACAGGCATCTGTATCAGCAAAAGTTTGTTTATGGCAGTCTGTTTTATTACAATGCAGAGCCTCAGAGTTCAGTATTTTAAAAACTGATTTGTTCTAAGATGGAAAAATTGGTGTAAAATATCAAGTCTTACCCCCCTTTCATTAGCATTTTTCAATATATGTGATCACAACTTTTCAGCCACAGTAACAATCTATATTAACACACTGCTTTATAGTTCTTCAGTTTAGAAAATTCAAAATCTCTACATCACATGGACACTATTTTGAATATATTAAAATTACATACTATAAATAAACTGATAGATACATCATTTAATGGCCACAAAGGTGAATGAAAACCTTATGATTCCAAAATGTTGGAGGCAGCAAAATACACTTTGATTAGGTCTATGATCTTTGACCGAAGTCCCCTGCAGATGTCACCTACCTCTCTTAAATCATTGTCCAGTCCAATATGTTCTGAATGTTGTCTAAGGCGATCTTTCCTGCGCTGTGCTGTGGCACTTCGATTAGCCCACCGACTAAAATGATGTAATTTGACAGAAGAGAGAGCTTATGTCAGTGATTTCAGTAAGCCTTCAGGAATCATCCTTTTCAGGAGCACACATGCATAAAAATTTGTGAACTGCAATAAGTATTTGTGATGATGAATTTCAGGCTGCCCTGAAGGGAAGACTTCATGGTAGATGAGAAACCAGCAAGCACCAAGGAAACAACAGGATGCCAAATGCTTGCCAAGGTCTCATGCAACACATCACAAGTTACTAGTGACCAGCTTATGACTGTGTACAGATTAGGATATATAAACCAAAGCGTACAGAAATAGATTTACTTACTTCAACAATTTTTTCCAACATTTTTTAACATTCAATTTGTATACCACTTCTTTGTAAATAACTTATTTGTCAACACTGTCACGAGGGTAATTTCATACTACCTCTCCTTATGTATGTTTGAACAACCTTTACATGCCAACTTGAATACAAGTATTATGTAATATTGTTTGAAGCACACCAGCAAATTATGTTATTGCTGCCTGAATTTAAAGTTGAGAGAGGAAGGGAAAAGATTCTACAATACAGCTCATTGAGTTGGATGTGGTGAAGATTTGTTGGTTCATTTCTATTTTAAAAAACAGTGACCAGGAGTGTCATTAGCAACACCTTCCTTGGTGACACTTCTACTGCAGAAAATAAATAAAATACACTGGTATGTAGCAATTTACATAATGATTTACAGCAGTCAGTATTCCTTCTTACTGGCTAGCATTTGCTAGCTAGTCAACAAAAACTGACCATTACTATTACCTACAGGCAGAGTAGTCCTGCCCATAGGACAGTTGCCTCAGGCCCTGTGCTTTGCAGGTGGTCCATACTTCAGGGGGAAGCTTCAAGGGGTAGAGCCAGGATGGGAAAAGGAGGGGCACGGACAGGGGCAGAAGTGGTATGGGGGCAAGGCCGGAGTGGAGTAAGGGTTGTTCCAGGGCCATGCACTCCTTTACAGAACTACGTGAACTCACACCCTCTTCCTGGCACCAATATTGTGCATTTCCTCAAACCAATGAAAGGAAATACAAGAAAAAACCAGCAGTGGGCCAAAGTAATATTACAAGTTAATTAGAACTTCATTATTTGATTAATTCTTTAAAGGCCTCAGAGGACAGGTGAAGAACAGACATGGTACCTAACTTCAAAGAGAAGACCCAGAGAGACCCAGAGAGATCAGCTTAACTCTGATATATGAAAAGATAGTTGAGCAAACAATTTATAAGCACATAAAGGATAAGTAATAGTCAACACAAAATTTCCCAAGAACAAGCAATACTAAACCAAAGTAAAGCGGTGAGGAGTCCTGTGGCACCTTATAGACTAACTGAAGTGTAGGAGCATAAGCTCTCGTGGGCAAAGACCCACTTCGTCAGATGCATGTCACGAAGTGGGTCTTTGCCCACGAAAGCTTATGCTCCTACACTTCAGTTAGTCTATAAGGTGCCACAGGACTCCTCTCTGCTTTTGCAGATTCAGACTAACACGGCTACTCCTCTGATACTTAAACCAAACTAAGTTTCATAGTTTGACAGGGTTACCGGCATAGTAGATAGTAAAGTTTCTGATATGGTCCTACTTGATAATCTCGTAACCAAACTAGGAAAATGTGGTCCAGATGCAATTACAACAAGATGGGTGCACAACTAATTCAAATGCTATAAAGAGTGGCAATATTTGCTATCAAACTGGTAGCAATGGTCTGTCCTGAATATGACATGTGATTGTGTGATTTCTTCAGGGTACTAGGAGTAATCAAGAATACTAACAAAAATATTTAGCGTAATTAGTTTTACTCCAAATATTTAGGATTGTATACACTATGTACAATCTTATTTCAGATTTTTAGAGTGCCTGGAAAAATTATATTATGTTTTCCTTCATATCCAGTAGAATACTCTTATCTAAAAGTAGCTATCCAGTACTGTTCCCAGAACTGAATCTTAAAATCCTTAGATTCTAGATCCAGAGGACAACTGTAAAAGCATTCTTTTACTCCAAAGTGTGTTACAGACTCAGTGGAAACACCTTACAGGTTTCTCTCTTTGCAACCTATTACTATTAATTATTTGTATTGCAGCAGTGCTAAGTAGTACCAGTCATGGGTGAGCATCAGACTTTGCTGTGCTAGACACCGTTCAAAATACAGAACAAAAAAATAGTAAATACCCCCCGCCCCCAAGAGTTTTACCAGTTCAAGTAGTTATGCAGTTCTCTCTTGATACCACACAATTCTTGTGCATCTAAAATCTTTGAAACCCACTTGGTTTTTTAGCAATGGGGAAAAAAAATTGATTACTGCATCAATTTATAAATGCAGATTAAACATACTTTCAGTTAAGGCAGCTATTAAAGACAAGTCAATCACTCACTGAAAAGATCCCTGAGAGTAAGACAATATATATAATATTATTAAATGAGCATCTCACGTTGAAGCAATTCTTTACATTTATATACAGAGACAATTATGAATAATGCTAGTTTTTAACCCAGTATATTCTATCCATTTTTGGAGGGGGGAGGCGAAGAAAGAGGTAATTCATTCTTTTCCTTTAAACACTAAAGAAAAACCACATGGTTAAGACAAAAGAAAGCTTCTATACCAGCATTTCTTAAACTGTGTTCCGCGGCACACAGTGACCATTTGTCCCTTTTTTTCTGGAACAGTCCCGGATTTAGACACCCAGTGCTAGCGCAGCGCAGCAGCAACTCCCCGCCTCCACCCAGCACGTAAGCAGCTCCCTTGGAGCTTTGCGTGGGCAGCCAGGGCTGCTGTCGGTGGTGAACACTGTTCAGAGCTCTGAGCTCCCATACAGCATGCGCTGCTGTCCGGAAAGCCCTTCCCACCACCGCATGGCCCTTCCCTGCTGCTCCGGGACAGCCTCTGCCATGTGCCACCAGCCCGGCCGCCTCCATCCACAGGCGGCTGCCATTGCTGCTGAGGGAGGATGGGCACTGGTTTGAAAAGGTGAGCCACTCTTGGGAGCTGCCACCCGAGTCCCGGCGGGAACTGCACACAGCTTGGCTGGAGCTCTACAGAGCGGGGTAAGTTCGGGCTCTGCCAGTGCGCTCTATGAACAGCCCTTTCTCCCTCTGCTCCTTCCCACTCTGCTGGGGGAGTGGCAGTGCATGGACCCGCTCACTGTGCTGCACTCCAAAAGCCAAATCTGGGAGGGTGGGGGCTTTCTCCCCTCCCCTACTCCTTATGGGAGCCAAAGCTAGTGTGGGGACTGGAATGCGGCACTAACTTTAGCACCACGGACAGCCCAGCTCCAGGCCCAGCTCCAGGCCCAGCAAGTGGTCCTGCCTTGGAAGCAGCTGGGTCCGGGCCTTTGGGGGCAGCTGGGGCCCAACCAGAGACTCCAGCCCCACAAACTGGAAGGTAAAAGGTGGGGGAGGGGCTTGAAGCAAATTAGGGCATTGGGAGCAAGAGGAAGCAAAGGGGGGGGGAGGTGCAGGAAGAAGGGTTGAAAGGAGGGGTGGGCATGAGGAAGGCGGGGATGGAACAAGTCATGTGTGAGGGCACGGAGGGGCATAAGAGGAACTGGGGCAGAGAGTGGTATGGGGATGGGCATCAGGGAGAAAGAGGGCAAGGGGACAGTGAGGAAGGAAGAAGCACCAGGAGGGTGCAGGAATAAGGGAAGGTGCAGGTGCCAGGGGATTCTGAGGGTGAAGCAGAAGGGCAGACACCTGCAGGGGACAGACCAACACCAGAGGAGAGGAGGTTTGTTGGGGGCCAAACTCATCCCCTATGGGTAGGAGGATGGTGGGAAAAATTCTTAGAGGTGGTTACTTCTTGACCCCGAGAGTCGTGGCATAGTAAACAGAAGTCAAGGAATGTAGGTAATGTGTCCCTAATTTTGGTTCAGAAAATATGGTCACCATACACGGAGAGAACAGAGTTCAAATGGCTGTCCTTAAAAGGGGCAAGCTTCCTCTCCCTCTCCCCTCCCGCCCCCCAACAAAAATCCTTGGTGTTCCCATTTAAAAACATTATTGTTTGGTGTTTCTTAAACTTTAAGACCAAGGAACAAACACTGTTCTATACTTTATGGGTAACTTCCTAAATGTACTTCTGGCTAGCAACCACACTGAACTTTTACTGACAATAAATCAATATAATCTTGCAAAACTCTTGTAATGCGCATCATACATTTTACAAATCTTTAAACTTTGAACAGATTAATCAATGCCCAGAGAGGCTAAGTTCAGCCAAGGATAGTGAGTTAATAATATCAATGCAGAAAACAGAAAAACAGCATGCAACTGTTCTTTTTGAAACCAAGTCCTTACAACTTAATCAGAAGAACTGAGATGCATAGGCTTGCCAGATGGTTTCAACAATAATACCAGACACACTTGACATTACATCACAATCTACATTACATCTTATTTAGAAAATATCGGACATTTATGTTTTCCTCAATTTGTTTCCCGAACAGAGAGCTCAAATACTGGACTGTCCGGTTCAAAACCAGACACCTGGCAACCCTAGAGATACAGTGCTTAAAACTACTTTGTACAATAATATAATTTTATATACTTATTTATTAAATTTACCTGTTTATATTCTTAATGGCTCATCAGTTAGCTTGGCAAATGCTTCACTAGACATCTTACTAACAGGTAGTTCTATCTGAACATCACTAGACTTAACTTCCCAGATAAGCAGCTATTGCAGAACTAACACAGCATGAAACACAATGCCTTGCAACCAGATAGGAACTGTATGTAGACTTTACAAATTGTTTTCTCTGCATTTTTAAGTTATTATTTTAAGATATTTAATCCTGGCTTTTTAGTTGTAAAGACAGCCTTTACCAAGGCCCAGTCTACGTTAGCTGCGTTACAGTAGCACAGTTATAGTGTGTATGGTGAATACGCTCTCTGCTGATGGGAGAGAGCTTGCCTTTCAGTATAAAATCACTTCCATGAGAAATGGTAGCTAGGATGGTGGTTTACACTGGTACTCATGT